AAAACTTGATGAATTGCATCGCTTCCAGGTTGCCACCAGGTCGCTGTCCCCTCTCCTTTCTTAACAAGTCAAACAAGTAAAGACTGTGGAACAAAGTTATTGTATTAAGAAATCATAAAATTCCCGAAACTACATCGCGCTCAAACTGAAGGGTGATCCTGCCTTGGTGCCGCAAGGGGGCAGCAAAATCCACCGCCTGGAGAGGAAGACGTTCAGTCCTAATTCATTCATTCCCATTGCTTCAAGGCATTACAACTCTTACGGTGCAAGATAAGAGACACTTAGACATGGGACAGGGAGTAAGCGATGCTAGTGCACCGCAACCGGCTGGGTCGAGCAAACAGAAAAAAAAACTCAATGTAATCTGACTCAAAGTTAAGGAGGGGGTAACTGAAAAGAATTTAAAGGGGGATTCAACACGAGAAGGATTGTGTTGTGTTTTAAGATCATAATAGAGGAGCAAAGGGGTTTAAAATCAGCTAAAAGTTACAATGTACCTCGGTGGGTCACAACAGGCTCTGACTGGTTCAATGCCTTGCTCAAAATATTCAAACTCACCCTGGAGATCCCCAGGATTAATACAGACTGCCCTAGAAAACGAAGGACAAAGGGGAAACCAGATAGACAGTAAAAACAGTGACAATCCAGGGTGCAACTGTTCTATGATGTGGGGTATCCCTCCAGCAGGGTATTGTACCTGATCTGCCTGATCCCTTCTGTAACAAAAAAAACAGGCCCGGGATAAGGTGGTGTTGAAGAATCCAATAGACATTTAGCATGACTAGCTATTACATACAATCAGTACATTCATAGGTATAGCAATATCTGACTTTTAAATTATACAGAGCAACATGCTGTTTATGGTATATCATGCTTCCAAGTGGTCACAGGTAAGATGGAGTCTAAGACCTTTATTCCCTCAGGTAACATGCTGTGATTGTGATGACATCGTGAGCATGTCTCTGAAAGGTATCCTGACTGTGAGAAATAAGGCAACAACCTTTTACTTGTTTCATTCCTTATTAATGCACATGGTAATAACAGAGACTGATGCAATGATCATTTGAAAAACATTTAGGCCAAGGTTTTGGTGTTTTTACAATATGGGGCTATAGACCAAAATCTCGAAAGTCAGATTAATCTGAATTCAGCTAGCACAGATTAAAGGGGCAAAATAGCCTCCTGTTCTGTATAGAGATAGTAGGAACTGCAGATGCTGGAGAATCTGAGATAACAAGGTGTAGAGCTGGATGAACACAGCAGGCCAAGCAGCATCAGAGGAGCAGGAAGGCTGATGTTTTGGGTTTAGACCCTGCATCCTGGGCCTCCTGCAGTGCCACAACGATGCTACCCAAAGGTTGCAGGAACAGCAACTCATATTCGCTTGGGAACCCTGCAGCCCAATGGTATCAATGTGGACTTCACAAGCTGCAAAATCTCCCCTCCCCCTACCGCATCCCAAAACGAGCCCAGCTCATCCCCGCCTCCCTAACCTGTCCTTCCTCCCACCTATCCCCTCCTCCCACCTCAAGCCCCACCCCCATCTCCTACCCACTAACCTCATCCCGCCCCCTTGACCTGTCCGTCCTCCCTGGACTGACCTATCTCCTCCCTACCTCCCCACCTACACTCATCTTTACTGGCTCCATCCCCGCCTCTTTGACCGACCTGTCTCCTCTCCACCTATCTTCTCCTTTGTCCATCTTCTTTCCGTCTTCCCCTCTCTCCCTATTTATTTCAGAACCCCCTTCCCCTCCCCCATTTCTGAAGAAGGGTCTAGGCCCGAAACATCAGCCTTCCTGGTCCTTTGATGTTGCTTGGCCTGCTGTGTTCATCCAGCTCTACACCTTGTTATCTCCTGTTCCATATATGTTTGTTTATATAAATAACTTTTAATCAAAGAAAAATTAGCAGGCTGGTATCAAATCACGAGCAAATCAGCTTCCAATTACTTTCCAACGAGAGGAAAAGCCATCTCTCATCTCCTCTGTGGGTGGATGAGTTATGAAGTGCTTATGTTGATATCTATCCCAAAACTAATGCATTGACATTCAAGTGCAGCTGTAAAGATGTTTTTATTCTTTCTCATATGATGCTCCCTCCCTCCCCCCCATCAGTTTTTGTTGGGCCCAAGTCAACTATGTCCAGCTGCAGTGAGCTGTAAACCACTGTGCCCTTTCAATCTGATGAAACATGGGCTCACAGCAAAGCTGGACTTGGACAACTCTGCTGAACTGTCTCACTGACTACTGTTGGTCCAGTGTTTTGGATCATCGATCTGTCTGCATGTGGGTACACTCTGGTTCATCCCATCTCCTGCCTGATTGCCTGACAGACTGGGACAACTTTGTCAGTCCTCTGTCCATCCCTGCCACCTGCCAAAACCTCCCCTAATTTAGCTGCCAAGGGATTGGTCGCCCTGAAAAGCTCCATACCAACCATCATAAAAAATGCAGAAAGGCATCTGCTCAAAATAACTAAGTGAACCACATCATAGGCATTTACAGCACAGAGGGAAAAGGGGAAAATGGCACAGAATTCTCACTACCTCCAGGTGACAATTTATACAGTGATTCCAGAAATTCAAAGAAAATGACCCGCATTAGGAATTCAATATTTGGAAATTAAAACATAAGACATAGGAGCAGAATTAGGCCATTCGGTCTGTCGAATTGGTTTCTGTGCAGTATTACCCCAGTGGGTGAGACAGTATCCCTGTCTACTCTGCTCAGGTGTTGCTGAATTTGCCTTGACATTCATCATTAGAGTTTCCTCTGTACCTTTCAGTTGGAATATTAAGCCTGAGAAAGGAGAAGTAACAAAATAAATTTAAATTTTGATCTTTTTAGCCATTTTAACACTACCTTTCTACAAGATTCAGACTCAACTGGTTATACCGTTTCCTTTGTGGACGAGAAAGATTGGTTGGCATTCTGCACCAAAGATTCTCAATTTTAAGAGCATCAACGGAATTGGGAGAAAGCAGGAACGTGGCATTGAGATTGAGCCATGATCATATTGAATTGCAGTGCAGCTTCGAGGGGCCAAATTTGTTATTCCTGTTTCTAGTTTCTATGTATTAGGAATCTCTCAATGAAATGTTACGTACACAATTAGTTATGAGCCCAAACTGCCAGCAGCAAATGTGACAGGCTGTTAATGTCTATATCCAGCAAGTTTGTAAAAGTAAGGGAAGCTCAAAGGGAAGATACTATTTGTTCGAGGCAAACTGTAGAAATTACCAGTAAGTCTGAAACCTTGTAACTCTCAGAATTCTTGTACTCTCCTTGAGCTGGCTGCCAGACCTGTGGATTAATACTGGACTGCATTGTTCACATATCACCCACTCTCCAGATATGGCCAAGCAAATAATGACTAGCAGTTCTTTCTCAGAATTCTTTCCTCCTCCCTTTCTTGTTACACTGTCTCACTACGTCGTAATTGAGGCTCATTCCCAAGCATCTGCCTCATTTCTTTCCTACTACTGGCTCAGGTTCTGAAATACCGCAGATAGTAAGCTACCCTCTGTGCCCCCATGGTGAGTGTTCCCCAAAGACGTAACTTTGTCCCACTTCTATTTCTCATAGAATTATTGCCTCTTGGCTTCATCACCTTTTTTTTTAATTCCTTCATGGGTTGTGAGTGTTGCTGACAGCATTTATTGCCCATCCTGCATTGCCCTAAAGAAGGTGGTGAAGAGCTGTCTTCTTGAACCACTACAGTCCATGTGCTGTAGGCAGACCTACAATGCCCTTAGGGAGGGGATTTGAGGATTTGAACCAGCGACACTGAAGGAGTGATGATATACTTCCAACAAAAACAGAAACTGCTTGAGAAACTCAACATGTCTGGCAGCATCTGTGGAGAGGAAACAGAATCAATGTGACCCTTTTTCTAGAACTAATTGCAGCTGGGAAAATGTGGCATATATGCTGAAGACGGGTGGGGTGGGGTTGGTAGTGGAAGGAGGTGGAGCCCAGACAGAACAGCAGTTGGTCAGACAAAGGAATGGATAATGCTGAGCCTGAGTGACCCTGACCCTAAGCCTAACCCTAACCCTAACCCAAACTGTAACCCTAACCCTAACCCAAACTCTAACCCTAACCCTAACCCAAACTGTAACCCTAACCCTAACCCAAACTGTAACCCTAACTCTAACCCAAACCCTAGGCCTAACCCGAACCCTAATCCCTCGTCCTTGCCTTTGTCTCTCTATGACCGGACTTTCCTCCTTCACATTCCGTAAACTGTGGCTCAGGCGAGACTTTGCTGCTGAGATGGTGCTGTCGTGGTACGGTCACTGGGCTCCTAAATCAGAGGCCAAGGCTAATGCTCCATGGCATCTAGAGGAATTTAAATTCAATGAAAAAATATCTGGAATTCAAATCTAGGAAGATGCCTTTGAGGAGTCAGAAGGAAGTGGTCGAAAGTAGGAATTCCAGGAAAATTTTGTGAGGAGCCTAGCAAAGCCTGTTCGATGAAGGAAGCATTTTCAAGAGGGACAGTCTGCTGGGTACCAATGAGATGGCAACAGTGAGGTTCTCCTTTATGGAGATTAAGACTGGGCTGTAGTGAGATATTTATTTATGGGGATTAATACTGCTAGAAGTAAGATGCCTACCTAAGGGGAATAGTGTTGGGCATCAGTGAGGTAGTGCTATTGAGGGAGTCCAGCAAAGTTTCACTGGAGTAATTCCCGGGATGGCAGGACTGACATATGAGGAAAGACTGGATTGACTGAGCTTGTATTTGCTGGACTTTAGAAGAATGAGGGGGCATCTCATAGAAACATATAAAATCCTGTTTGGACTGGACAGGCTAGATGCGGGAAGAATATTCCTGATGTTGGGGAAGTCCAGAACTAGGGATCACAATTTAAGAATAAGAGGTAAGCCATTCAGGACTGAGGTGAGGAAGAATTTCTTCACTCAGATAGTTGTGAACCTGTGGAATTCTCTCCCACAGGAAGCTGTTGGGGCCAGTTTGTTAGATATATTCAAGAGCTTACTTTAGCAGCACATATATTAAAATGGAAATGATACAGAGAAGATTAGCACGACCCCTGCACAAGGATGACACACAAATTTGTGAAACGTTCCATATTTTAGGGGAGGCAATGGCCCAGCAGTATTATTACTGGACTGTTAATTCAAAGACCCAGTTAATATTCTTGGGACCCAGTTTCGAATCCCACCGCAGCAGATGGTGGAATTTGAATTCAATAAATATCTGGAATTGAGAGTCTAATGATGATCATAAATCCATTGCCGATTGTCGGGAAAAACCCATCTGGTTCACTAATGTCCTTTTGGGAAGGAAACTGCTATCCTTACCTGGTCTGGCCTACATGTGACTCCAGACCCACAGCAATGTGGTTGACTCTTAACTGCCCTCTGGGCAATTAGGGATGGGCAATAAATGCTGCTTGGTCAATGACGTCCTTATCCCATGAACAAATAAATAAAAAAAAGAGGGAGTTGGGTGTGGCCCTTGCAGCTAAAGGGATCAAGTGGTTTGGAGAGAAAGTGGGAATGGGATATAGAGATTGCATGATCAGCCATGATCATATTGAATGGTGGTGCTGCCTCGAAGGGCCGAATGACCTACTCCTGCGCCTGTTTTCTATGAATCTATGTTTCCATACCTACTTACGGGGATTAAATGCTGGGCACTAGTGAGATTCATATTTCTGGAGATTTGATGGATATTTTCAAAATCATGAGTGGGCTGGATAGAGTAGATAGGGAGGAAGTACGCCCTCTTGCAAAAGGAACAAGAATGAGAGGGCATTGATTTAAAGTGAATGGCAAATGAAGCAAGAGTGGTGTGAGAAAACACTTTTTTCACACAGAAATAGTCAGGGGTATGGATTGCACTGCCTAGATATGTGGTGGAGGCAGGTTCAATTCAGGCATTCAAGAGGAGGATTGGATGGTTACTTGGATAGAAATGGTGTACAGGAATATGGGGGAGAAGGCAGGAGATTGGGACTAGGGGATAGTACTGGTAAAGACACAATGGGCTGAATGGCCTCATACTGTATCAGAGCAGTTCCTTATTTCTGCAGGTCTTTTCAACTTTAAGACCATTCTGAAATTAATCTCTTTGGTAGGCTTGCTTCTAATATTCCCATCTTTGGCTACAGCTCTGTGAAGGGTCTTTCTAGAATGAAGGCATTGTATAAATATCAACTGACTTTTTTTGAATTTAATCCCAATCTCAGGTTATTACTTTCACAGAATCCTGAGATCTACATGTTGTGTAGATTTGATTTTTATCCAAATTATGAATGCTTCTCAGAAAGTGAGTATATTTCCTGTCCCTCTCGCAAAAATTAATTCATGACATTTCCCTGGGATAATCAAACACATCCCTGTTTAATTCTCCTGCTGGCATACGTGGGTGGAGAGAATATTGCCTGTGACAGGGAAGACTAAAGTGTCATAATTGATATGTGGGGAAATGAAGGGGCAGGTGTTGCACCTTCTGCGGTTACATGGGACGGTGCCATGGGAAGGAAGGTTGATGTTAGAGGTCAAGGTCATGGAATGGACTAGGGTATTCCAGAGGGAACAATCCCTGCAAAATACAGACGGGGGAGTGAGGGGAAGATGTGTTGGGTGGTGGCATTCTGCCGGAGTTGTCTGAAATGGCGGAGAATGATCCTGTGAGAGCGGAGGCTGGTGGGACAAAAAGGGGGATCAAGGGGAACCCGATCACATTGTTGTGAGTGATGTGAGGGGGCAAGAGTGGAATCACGGGTGATAGGTTGGATGTAGTTGAGGCCCCTGTCACCCACAGTGGGTGGGAAACCGTGGTTATGGAAGAAGGAAGCCATGTCAGCAGCTCTATTGTGGAAGGTGGCATCATCTGAACAGATGTGATGTAGACGAAGGACCTAGGAGAATGGGATGGAGCCCTTACAGGACGTGGGGTGTGATGAGCTGTAGTGAAGGTAGCTATCGGAGTCAGTGGCTTTGTAGTAGATGGAAGTGGACAGTTTGATCCCTGAAATGGAGTCAGAGAGGTCAAGGAAAGGAAGGGAAGTGTCAGAGATGGACCATGTGAAAGTTATAGAGGTATGGAAACTGGAGGCAAAATGAACAAATTTTTTAAGGTTTGGGCAGGAACGTGAAGCGACACTGAAACAGTTGTCAATGTACTGAAAAAGGATTTATGGTAAGGGGCCGGTGTAGGACTGGAACAAGGATTGTTCCACGTACCCCATAAAGAGAAAGGCATAACTGGGACCAATGTGGGTGTCATAGCCACTCCTTTGACTTGGCAGAAGTGAGATGAATTAAAGGAGAAATTGTTCAGTGAGAGAATAAGTTCAGCCAAGTGGAGGAGAGTTAGTGGTGGATGGGGATTGTTCATGCCTCTGGTCGAGGAAGAAGCTGAGAGCTCGCAGACCGTCCTGGTGAGGAATGGAGGTATGGAGGGATTGGACATCCATGGTGAACAGGAGGCAGTTAGAGCCAGGGAACTGGACATTGTCAATATGATGGTGGGCATCAGAGGAATCGTGGATGTGGGTGAGTTGTCCAGGATGGGGAGACGAGAAGGTTGGAGGCCGTTGGGGGAAGATCTCTGGAGGTAATGAGATCAGTGACAGTCCTAGCAACAATGGCTTGGTGTTTGGATCCTTTTGTCATTGGCTAATGTATCCAAAGTGTTTAGATTCTTTTATACAAACGCCTGAGAAGTAAGGTTTTGGGCCTCATACCGATCGTCATTGAGAAGATCCTTAGGTTTGTGTTTATAGAATCCCTACAGTGTGGAAACAGGCCATTCAGCCCATCAAGTCCACACCAACCCTCCGAAAAGCATTCTATCCAGACCCACACCCCCCACTTATCCCTGTGATCCTGCATTTCCCATGGCTAATCCACCCAGCCTGCACATCCCTGGACACTATGGGCAATTTAACATGGCCAATCCATCTAACCTGGACATCTTTGGACTGTGGATCACCCAAAGGAAACCCATGCAGACACGGGGAGAATGTGCATAATGTACACAGACAATCGCCTGAGGGTGGAATTGAACTTGGGTTCCTGGTGCTATGAGGCAGCAGTGCTAACCGCTAAGCCATCACGCCACCTGAAACAGTCCCACCCTGTGAACATGCCTGGCATAGTCGCCTCAATTAGGTAAGTGCTGTCACAGTCAGGAGATTTGCCTTTAAGCCGACTGCCACATTCGGATTTGCAGATGCCTAGAAAGTGCCTCAAAAAGTGATAATGTTAGTTGTTGAGGTTCATTTCATGAGGACAGATCTGCAATCATGCAATAAAGTCCTCAGAACACAAGTTGCTTCAGTCTTAGTGCTCAGAGACAGCTTGATCTTATTTTGTGCATGTTTCCCGAGTCAGCCAAAGATGGTAGCTGTTTTGCTGATGTGCGTTACACGTTTTGTATCAAGGGACAGATTGTCTGTTACTCTCAACCCAGGGCAGCAGTGTTTGCTAGCCACTTTCAGCCTTTGTTATTGAGTGTGGCAAAGGGTACAGAAATGTCCCATGAGCATGGTTTTCTTGATACTCAAAGTGAGGGAGAGCAAGAGAGAGATAATCCAGGAGTCTCCATAGCTGAGTTTCCCTTTGAGAGTCCAGCATGGTATCATCAGTGTAAGGAGTACTCTGATGAAGATGTGCTGTGTTTTGTCTTCATTTTCGGTTTAGACAGGCTGTGGATCTTGCCTAGTTTTCCTTTCATATCTGTAGGCAGTTCAAAGATCAAGTGCATGAAGAGCAAGGTGGAACTAGGACACAGCCTTGTTTCATTGCATTCTTCATTCTGAAATTGCTGGAAGTGGTGTTTCCAAACTGGATAGCTAAGGGCACTGCTGTGAAGAAACATGGCATCTTACAATGTAAGAAGATGTTATTTAAGTGTAATATTGTGATGATTCCAGAGCATGAGGAAAATCAGGAACGTTCCTTTCCCGTTAACCGAGAAAAGAAATTTGTTTGAGTTGCACAAAATTTCTAACTATTAAATGTTGGAAAATTACCCACAGCACATTTTAAATGCCCACTGGAATGAGCAAGGCTACCATCAAAAACATGGAGTTACAAAACAGCCTTTGTCGTGTTTCTTCCCACACACCGTGTCAGATCACTTTGCTAGGATTCTTTCTTTCCCATTTCATTCTCTGGGGGATAAGTTAGACAACTACTAAAATGGGCAGCATGTCAAACATGGGAAAGCTCTCACGCTGTTTCTTTCAGTCAGTACTTTTTACCCTTAATTCTTCCAATCTGTTACTCCAACTTGTCTTTTGCTATGCGATTTTTCTGTTTTCTTTTATTTTCTTTCATACATATGAACTTGCTTTTTCTCTCTCTCTTCATGATTTTTCTCAGAAACTCTTTTCCCTCGCTATGCACTGTTTCCTGTGATTTTTTTGCCCTTTGACATTTTCAGTTTTTGGCTGTCCCTATCATTTTTCTGAGTCTTTGATTTCTTTGGTGTTTCATCAATTCTTTTTCCCTCTCTACTGCAGAGTGTGTGTGTTTACAAATGATAGATTTATCTGTAGGAGAACTATTCCATCAGTGGCAGCACACCGACCTCACAGCATCAGGGTGCCAGGTCAATTCCACCCGCGGGTGTGGAGTTTGCATATTCTCCCCCATGTCTGCGTGGATTTCCTCCAGGTGCTTTGATTTCCTCCCACGGTCCAAAGATGTGCAGGTTAAGTGGGTTAGCCGTGGGAAATGCAGGGCTACAGGAATAGGGTAGGGAGTGGTTGGGATGCTCTTCAGATGGTCGGTGTGGGCTCAATGGGCTGAGTGGCCCATTTCCAAACTGTAGGGATAATATGATTCTATGACAATTGCTCCAACTAGAAGAATCTGCATGTCCAAACCCAATTTCCTACTCCTCCATTCCTGACCATACTCTCCTGCCAGTTTCCCAGAGGGATAATCTCTTCAATTTCCAACCTGTATGTCTCAACACACTCATCATTATCTACTAGAACTCTGCCAGCATTCAGTATGCCCCTTCTCCCTCCAATACCTCCCTTCATGATTTCTCTTCAGTCACAGAGCCCAAAGGTTGGGAGCATTGGGCCAGTACAGTTGGAGCTGATTTTTCATT